AGACAATTAGTATTAAATGTATGAGGCTAAGTAATGCGTGTAATTTAGTGTTCAGGTGTTCACCCTTGAACTTTGGGAACCACTTCATTAAAATAGCGCCGGTACCCGTACTGACAGATATGCACAATATATTATTGTTCGGTCTTCGCTTTTGCGTTCCGTAAGCAGCTTGGGAAAACCAAACGATTTGGATTTAAAACGTGTATAGCAATGGAATGTTATGTGACAATACTGACGGATATTGTTTTTATGGCAATGACGGGTATTGGTTTTCTGATCATTTGTTTCGTGTTTTTGTGTAGAATTTTTTTTCTGTTGGTCGTTAATTTGAAATATTGTTTATTACCTATTTGATACGCTTTAAGCCGAATTGATAAAAAAATACAGAACATTATAAAGAAGATAAGTTCTGTGATAAAAATCGTATGAAATTAGTAGGTTTTATAAAATGTTATTTATATTAAAATAACAACTTTACACTACCTAATATAAACATAAACGTATTCACAGTTAAACGATATAACATAACACCAATAATTTAGATTTTCAAATCACAAGGCACGCTTCAACGATACAATTAACATAAAAATGTAGTAGACTTGTGCTAAATTACAGATTATTAACATTCGTCCTCGTTTAGTAAAACAAAGTGCCACAGATAAGTAATACGGTGGAATAATATGGTTCCGCTAACCGTGCATTACTGGTTCATAATGTAGTGTGGTTTCCGACTGGCCATCGACATAATTTTACAATATATCTTGTCTGTACCAAGACGTTGTTGTAAGTTTTTAATGTACCAATTTTTTGTATTTATTAAACTGTCAAACACCAAGCGGTCACCGGTGACCGCAACCTATTGTTCTATAATTGTGTCTATAAATACGGTACTCGACGAGTTAAAAGCTTAGACATTTAGGCTAATGTATCGATCCTAGCTCAACTTCGAAAACAAAACAGTTTTACTCTATGCCAGCAAAGTATCCTTCCGTACTTTGGCCACACAGTCTGCAGGGGTGGTGAGGACCTGGAGAAGCAGATTGTAAGTAGGGAACACCGAAGGCAAGAGATCGCGTATGCTTTCCACAACGAGATGGACCAATCATATAAAAGGCTCGTCCTCAAAAATTTGCACTGCTGCAAGAGACGCACTGGACAGAAACTGGTGGAATCAGATAGTCCGCTCCAGATGCAATCCTGATGCTGACCACAATCCTCATGGAATTATGGATTATGGAATCGCACCCGGTATCGCTTTAAAAGTTCACCCCCATCATCATCATATAAAATGATTCGCTAAAATAGGGAAATATAAAACAAGAAATCGTTCAAGTACTGGTAAGTAGGTAAGGTATATAGGCATATACCTAAATACCTTAAGTAGATTTAAAGGATTGTAAGCGCTACCGCAGTAGGTTAAAGTAGTAAATAGTCAAAGTGCCGGTCATGGCAGTTACAATAATCTGTCATGACACTGTTTTAATTAGACATGCAAGTAATATACAACAGAGCACGAAATATATAGTGTCGTGTTCAAAGTAAAATTGAACGATTTATGTTTCAAAATTAAAGCTGGAGCAGAATTATATTTTCGAATGAATTAATAAAATTACATTTGTAAAATACGCTTTGCTTGTCTACGGTAAACTATTTTCATCAATAACATATATAAAAACAATTTCACGTCTACTCCATATAGGTATCTATACATACCTAACTACCTACACAGCAAAAAGTATAATAAGAAGACCATAGATAAGAAGACAGACATGTAGCAAAGAAGTGGGTACATGGAACCTCAATCGTAACCAGTTCTCCTCCACGAAGGTTAAATTAAATCTCTAAAAAAAATGTACCAACCTCGTTGGAATACTCCGGACAGTTCTTCCGGCAGCACCCACTCGCTACCGGTTACCATATCAGCTGTTATCTTCACCTCACTTCCGAGTTCCGCTCAACCCCACACCTTATGTCAAGAACTTTATCTCGTTAAAGGTCAACATTTTGTTATTGATCTTTACAAAGATTGTGTTAAATTTTAAGTTATTTTCATCAAACGCCAATTATTTTTTCGAGAATTTTCCAACAACTACGTGAAGTTCAAGGTCCCGAAGACCTTTGTGGCACAATGGCTGGCGTCTGTCTGATTAATAAGTTATATACTATTTATACACACATACATAAATGTACCTGTGCTTACAGAGTTACAAGTTTCGTAAATAATTAATTAATAAGGACTTGTATCGCCATGTCGTCTTCTTTAGATTGGATAGGACATGACACTATCTAGATGTCATTCAACCCGACTTGCATGGAATTTCCAACCGGAGCCAAGTAGGAGTGGGCACAATGTTGGATATTTGTCGTTACACAATTTAGGCAAGTTTATATGAGAGGGAAAAATACAAACTATTGATGCAACTACTTAACAAAATGCAGATACATTGCTGCAATGGCTATCTGCATACGAATCACACAATCGTAGTCCTTGCAGCTTTTACTAAACGCGAATTTGCTCCGTATTTCACACTCAGTGAGTTTTGTTACGCAAAGCTTACAATCTCTGGTATCGCGAGCAGTTTATTATTTAATTAGCGACTGAACTGAATGCACCATAAGCCACATGAAGCCGCAACTACGTCCGTTTCCCGAAGGCGAAGAGTCGCGGATCGCGAAGGCGTTTCGCAACGCCCTGCGGCGGCGCCCGCGCATTCCGGCCGCGACACGGCGGCGACGAGATACGATACACACTCTTTGCGACACTACTCTGCACCTTTTCTGAATTACAAAAAGGTATTTTGTAGCTTCTGTTCGTGTTATAAGTACCAACAAATGTTTTTAATAAAAAATAAACCTAAACAATGTACAAATTATCCAGATAAACCAATTTTCACGATAGTAATGATTTGGCCTCCAAAGTCCCAAATGTGTGTTTTCTTACTTTATAAACGTGATCATCCGTCAGTACTATCCTAGACAGTAAACTTAAAAACCCGTTAGTCAAAGTACATAAATAGCAGCCAACATTTCGCAAATCTTCACAGCCGTACTCCTTCGTAACTAAAATGGGAAGTGGTGTTTGTGGTCTACCCAATTTAACGTAACACGCAACGGTGTCTATGGCCAACGTTAATTTTATTACCGACCTATTCGACAAACAGGTTTTCGTACATAAAATAAGTTATTTAAAACCTTGCCCCAGGTTACGCTTACGAGGATTTCAGTAGAATTCAGTAGAAAAAACATCAGAATTCAAAAGAGCATTGCGAGAAAAAAGTACATTTTTAAGTGGTGTAATTACTATAGGTACTCACGCTTTTCATGAATTATATTGATTACGATCCCTTCATCAATTGACGTCGTGTCTTTATATAATTTCTAAATTGAAGAACCCCTTAGGTTGCCCTACACCGTCCAATCCGAAGATCAAAATTAAATAGTAAAAACAAGGTGTTCTTTGGCCGCTTATTAGCGTGTGGTATTTGACATTTTTACCGGCAATAGTCTTTAATTATATATTATTATTCGGGAGAGTTTGTGTATTCTAGTGTACTGGACTGTACACCGTAGACATTATCCAAATAGCATCACATAAATCTACTGCGAGAATATTCGTGTCAAGTACGAAACTCGTCTCATTAACATTTTAGAACAGTAGCTCGTGGCTTCTAGTACCGGCGTGTAATTTACACCTACCCTTACAAGTCGCACAGTCTGCTGTACTCGTCATTTACATAGTATAACTAGTTGCGCCTGTGTCTTCGTCCGTTTAATGAAGTGGAAATTATGAGTCAAATTATATTTGCACAAAAAGATCGTAGATATCATGAAACACCCAACGGTATCTGAGGATATTCCCGGTAAATATCTTAGTATTACTATTTATGGTATTCCAAGGCGTAACCTATATATGTGCCATATTTCATCTAGTTCTTCAGCCATTTTGAGGTAATTGAGTAAAAACATCCTTCCACACAAACATTTAGTACTAGCATAAATATACATTAACATAGGTATCTAGTGGCCATTTACTTGAATACTAATGCATATGAATCGTCTCTCCATAGTAGTATTCGATTAATAGATATGTAAATAATGGTCGGTTATAAATAATTACGTTCATTTGCCTATTGTAGGATTTGTTGTCGCCTATCCAATTTATAATTTATAATTGGTTATTTAAGGAATTTAGGATTCTAATCCTTTGAAATTCTATTTGATCAAAATAAACACTTGATATCAATATTTGTACCTAGGTTAGGTACATTTTACGTTAAAGTAACGTTTCTTTTAAATCCTCATTTTAAAATTAACTTACTACCCTAACTAACTAAAGTTTCACATCAGGAGTACCTACATCTCTCATTGCAAATTCGACTTTGAACTAATTTCGAGTGAAACAGCTGAATTTCTGAAACTCTACGTGAGATTTCATCAAATTAGTTAATAAAAATACTCAGCCGGAACAATTTTAGTAACTTTAATATTTACAATGTATACTTGTAACATTTTTACAATTTTTTGCTAACAATTTATGAAATTAAGGATCATAAAGAATAAAGTGTGCAATTTAAGTTAAACTAATTGCCTTCGCTCTCATTTAACGCATTTAAAACCAGGTAATATGTTAGCACAACACTGTGAGCTCATACGAATAATTATCTTATAATTAATTGCTTCAACTCACTCTCTTGCATTATTATGGAGACAATTCGTTAATTTAGGCGACCCAATCAAAATTCAGCTTTCATTTCTCAGGATATTTATTTTTAAAATAAGTCGTGTAGTTTAAGAACCCTAAGATGTAGAAATTTCACGTAGTAGTTCATGTAATAACCCTACACCTGGTATCAAATTGAAAAGCACGACGAATTCGGTATTCGCCATTCCACCCACTCCAACACAGAAAGCCTTCAGCCTTCAAACCACAATAGAAATAACATTAATACATTCCTCATATAAACCACAGTACTAAAGTTTTCCATGTTCCCTTGTTTCAGGCTGGGTGAGCGATGAAGGGGTGGTTTGACGCGTTCCGCGAGGAAGGCGGGCCGACCCTGTACGCGTACCACAACCGCACGGCCGTCGCGGCTGATGTGCCTGCGCTTGCGCTGCTCATCGCCGCGCTCACGCTCTACATCGCCTTCCTCGCTGTCTTCCCCGGCATCAGGAAAGAGGTTGTACTCTTTATATGTCATAAACACTTATATATTTTTTTAAATATCTTACTAAAGCCAGCACGTTAAATTACTTCTGTCAGTAATTATCAACCTTATACTTTTGAGATAAAGTTTAAAATTCAATAAGTACACTCACAGTTTGAGGTATCTAACTTGATATTAGTAAGTAGATAAGATTTCAGTTTGAAAACCTTCCTTGCACTGACTAAGCGACTTCCCACTAAACACGTTCTGCTTACCAGTAAAAGGTGACTAAGTGTTGTCCTACAAGGTTGCATATTTCACATCTGCACTCCAAACTTATGACTAAACGATATTGAATCAACAACAGAAATGCCAGGCTATCGCTTTCCTGATCTCTGACATTGACGACAATCAGTTTAAGGAACACCTGTTTATGTTAATCTATCTTTCTATTGTACCTATTAGTCAGTTTTACTTCCTGTTTCGATTAAATAGTAAACAACAACAAAGTATAAAAAGGAGATATACTGAGTACATATCTGAAAATATCACAGTTAGGTTGTATATGTAATGTAAGCTTGGGCAGACTGTCAAAGCTACATCGTAACTAACACATATTAATAGCATTATGTTGTCAGCTACCAAGCACACAAGTTGTAAATAAGATAAAATTATTATTTGACTATATCTAAAAACATTTCTAGACAATGTAATGGCCATTGTTTTGTTTGAAATTGCTCCTAACATAGTATTATCTCCAGCTGATTGTAGTACCTAGTGCATTATTTACGAAACATCTGCTGGGATCACGATAATGACTAGGTATAACTCATAACAGCTACATTAAGACCTATCCATTGTTTGTTACAGAGATTCTCAACGTTCACGATAGTCACACTAAGTCTTTTCGTCGGCACCGTCATTCTAGGTAAGCATTATGGAATATCCAACTTTCCACTTTCTTTGTTCATAATTAGTGAGACGTAACCGTTTGGTTTTTTTGCAGAATAACTCTACAATTTTAACACCACTTTAAGAGCGTAAATCATTGCAGCAGACGTAACAGCCTTGGCAACAATTTTAACGACTTAATTACACTCATTTGCCATGAAAATTCTAATGGACACTTAATTAAAATGCAAGTACATTGCTTAAAAACAACAAGAAACGAGATTATTTATTGAATTTGGTATTGAGTTTTATAGGTATTAAGATAAAACTAATGTTTCGTAAATGTCTACGAAATGGTGGGGAAATATAAATTATCTGTCCGATTTATGGAGACTTGGGTAGGTACTAGAGGTACAGATGACGAAAATAATAATTGTTGACAGATAGTCCACAGTATTTGACAAGATGATTGGGACGATTATTTCTAAATCAAGTTGTGTGTCAGGTATGTTCTGTGCAATTCTGCATATAATGGTCTACTATATTGAAAATCGAAGACCCTTGGCAGTTAACACGATTATTCTAAAATGTTTAATATATTTATGTATCTCATTAAAAGTTGATTCTTTTTCTCTAGTATCTTTATCGAACGAAATCTATACGCACTTCCAAGAAGCAAACGGTAGTAGGTACTTAAAGAGGAAAACCAAGTGTATAGAATGGAATCCGACAATAAGTCTGTTTAGGAAAAGGTTAAATGAATGATGATGAGGAAAAAAATACCAAGGCGAAGTTATTTGAGGACAACGTTTCTAGAACTTAAGAGAACACCTGATGCACGTATCTAAGTTTATATTTCTAAATTATTCAATGGACTCCTTTAAAGTTTAAATTTGATTATTATTACCAGCAGCTTCAAGTTTACTTAGTCATTAGCATAAATGTAAAATATACGTACTTATTGAATCAATAATACTTATAATTTATTCGGCAATTAGTGGCTAATTGGAGATGCATATTAATATGGAATACGACTTCTTCGAGTAATTACCTTTAATCAACACTCAACTTCATAATATTATTATAAGGACATGATTGAATGACGTGAGTCCTCAGAATGGATGAACCTATTGAAATCGATTTTAATAAGCTTAAAAGGGCTGGCTAAAAAAATGGCTTCCTAATATAAGTAATATTTTAATACAATACTCATTTAGTAGAAACGTGTTATGACAGAGTACCATAACCAAATTAAAACTATAGAGATGTGTCTGATTAGTAAAAGATTTTGTAATTTTTTTCGTAATGAATACGCCATTGTTTTGCGGGTGGTCGGGCGAGTGGTGAAACTTGCCTTCTGCCATTGACCGCGATTTTCGTGTGTCAAATGCTGATTTGGTTCCGCACTTCGTGGCTATACTTTATCTCATGCTACCATGTGATGTAGGTGGATGTAAAGGTCGTGTCCGTAGATCAGCTCTGCAATGAATGGTTAATATGGGCTTTGATTTGGCCCTAACTTACTTGGATTTATGTAACAGTCATCGTGGATAGTCAGATGAAAAATGTAATGAAAGGAAGATACTTGGATTGGGTCATATAAAGCGCTTATCAGACACGCTTCGCTCCTTGAACTAGAATATAGAAGAAGACTGTAGACACTGATGACATCAAACAAACTCGTGAAATGTCAGTTTCACTGTTTTGAATCAGGCTCATGCCGACACTGATTCATTATAAATTCAATACAAGTACTGAGATATTCCGGTTGCGATAATTTTAATAACGGTACAAGGCAAAACAGTGCTGTGTGCTGAGCTTATAAATGGCATTATTCGAACCGAATTGGACTAAATAATCTCAGCTAGGAAAGGCTATCAGCAAATGTAGTGATAGAAATCTTAACTACTTCTACTGTCTAGGATAGCATTGTAATAACAGTGTAACTGTGGCGCGTAGGACGATAGATGTGAGATACATACGATAAGATTGGATAAAAGTTGCAAGCAACTTAACTGCCGCAGGGCTCTATTCACAAAATAAACAGAACATTAAATTAGTTTAATAAAAATGTTGAAGTACACAGTATAAAATAATAAGTTATATGACAATGGACATGACAGTCTGTAACGAGAGAGATTATTTGATACACTGCTTTTTTACCTAACAGAAATTATTCTGGCCGAATGGTACGCCACGACCAGGATTCAATCGCCACGACCAGAATTCAATTGTGAATCGACACCTTCTAAAACATCTGAAACAAAGATGTTATTCAACTTTGTTATTCTTCAGCGGTAATTTGAGAAATGTATGAAAATGTACGCCATTGTTTTGGTTACGTTGGTTGCAGTATGTAAGCACGGGTCGTCGTGGCACGTGGCGGGCGCCCGCGTGGCTCGTGCGGCGTACCGCGCGTTTTCCGCCGACCGGCTGGACTGCTGGCTCGCCGTGCATGTGGGACTGGGGCATGTCAATGTTACGCTCACTGGTAAGAATTATTAAACTGTAGTAATTGTATGAAAATAGTATAAACAATAATATCCTACCTAATCATCTTATGAACGACTACTGAGCGTAGGTCTCTACGTACACTCTAGCAATATTATTTGGTTTTCTACAACGTAATCTATATAAATAAAAATTATTTTTCGTTTGTTTGTTCTCACTAAAACTCGAAAAGGACTAAACAGATTTGCGGAGGAACGAAGTTTTTTTATATTTGATGGGTCGACGTTTATTACCACTGTCTCGCCTGGTGGTAAGCGATGATGCGGTCTACGATGGAGCACGTCGTCCCATAAGCAACCTATTCACTCGGGCCTTGAATACTCCCAGGTTATACCCTTCAGGAAATACTGACTCTGGCAAAGAATTCCACTCTTTAGCAGTACGCACAAGGAAGTTTGAAGCGAAGCGCTTCGTGCGTGTGGGTGGAACATCTACCATGAATCGGTGACGCTTCGCCGATTGTCTAGTTTGCCGGGTCAGCTAGTTTTCAATAATTATAACACTATCTTCTTATCAGAAAGGTTATATGTGCAACACCCAAGCGATCTGTTTTTTTTCCTACTGAGAAATTCTGACTTACATTCAGTCAAAAAAGTATCGGGAATGGATGATTTTTTTATGGTTCCAAATTCGAATTTTTGTTTTTTGTAGTTGTTAGATTGGCACAACTGTTTTCCATTTTGGCGCGGAGTTTGAATTGCATCTGTTATTTATATAACCTCTATATACACAGTGCTGGTTTTAGTAATATCATGTATAGTGTGTATTGCGAATTTTATAATGGACAAAAATATCGAACGAAAGAGTTTATTTTAAATTTTGCATCGCCAATGGAATTTCGTGTTTGGAGTCACTGAAAATGTTACTGAAGGCTTACGGTGAATCGACTTTATCAAAAACTCGTGCTTATGAGTGGTTCAAAGCGTTCAAAGGCGGTCTAGATGTGATGGAAGATTTGCCTCGCTCTGGTAGGCCGTCAACGTCTGCAACTGAAGTTAACATCGCAAAAGTGAAGGAAATAGTGACTGAAAATCCCCATTCAACTCTGAGAGAGATCGCCGCCGAACTTTCTGTATCTCACGAGTCGATCCTTACCATTTTAACTAATAATTTGGGTATGAAACATGTTGCTGGTCCGCTAACCCCAAAAGATCAGAATTTCCTCCAAAACTCAATCGCATGAAAGTCGCTGAGGACATGCTAAAACGAGTCAGTTCGGACCCAACATTCATGAAACGCATTGTTACTGGTGACGAGACGTAGGTTTACGAATTTGACATGCAAATTAGTCAACAAGCTTCGGAGTGGCGCCTTCCAACTGAACCGAAACCGAAAAAACCACGCCAAAGTCGATCAAAAGTCAAAGCCATGTTGACTGTTTTCTTTGACTATCGCGGTGTTGTGCACTCTGAATTCTTACCGGAAGGTCTAACGGTAAATAAAGAATATTATTTGAGCGTTATGCGACGTTTAAGAGAGAGAGTGCACCTAGACAATGCGCCTTGGCACAACGCTATCATTGTCAACGAATTTTTGACCAAACACTCAACAATTACCATCCAGCAACCACCATATTCACCAGATATGGCTCCTTCTGACTTTTTTCTTCTTCCTAAACTCAAATTACCACTTCGTGGCACCTGTTTTCAATCTGAACTCAATTCCGGAAGCAGTGTTTAAAAAATGTTTTGATTAATAGATGATTCTTTGGCGCAAGTGTATCGTTTCTAAAGGAGCATACTTTGAAGGTAATAAAATAAATTTGGATGAATAACAGACATTTTGTGTATTATTGATCTTTTCCCGATACTTTCTTGACAGAGTAGTATATTAACTCAAATTTTAGGATTAAAATGTATGCTTATTGCCATTACTTAAATACACTAATACTGGTCAATACTAATAATTCTAGCTCTGTCCTGGGGCAATACGAGTGTGGGGGATCCAGGTGTGGACTACAACGAGCAGTTCCGCTGGGAAGAGGCCGGGGCTATCCAGGAGTTCTACCGGGATGGCCTGACGCGAGGCCTGCCTTTCCCACTTTTGTCTGTTGCGGAACACTTCGCAGTACAGCATGAAGGTTTCGATTGGGGAGCCAAGTATCGTGCTGCAGGGTACACCACATCTACGCTGTTGTGGTAAGTGAAATGGAAGCTATTATTATTCATTACAACTATTGTTTTGAGATTCTGAAATGCTGGAGCTGTAGCGAGTAGATTTTCTTGAGCCTCATTCTTAGTTCTAAGTTTTAAGTTCTATTGATAGTTTTATATAACATGTTATGTTATGATGTTATAGTACAGCTCTTTTAAGTTGTAAAAATCTTTATTTATAACATTTCAGGACGGCGATAGCTCTGTGGCTACTGATGAACCTGCTCCTAGTAGTCGTGCCTCGATACGGCGCGTATGCCATGGCCACGCTCGGCGTAACGCTATGTGCTGCCGCCGGGGGCTACTGGGCCTCGCTACCACACGCGCCACTAGTCGTACGCCTTGACGGAGCCATGCTGTTCTTCTCGCTAGGATGGTGCTTTTGGCTTGTGTTAATAGCAGGTGAGCTAAAGATGATCCAATAATGTCACCCAGTATAAACATAAAATCAAGGTCTGTGATAATTGTGCTAAACGTACGGCAATAAGCCATTCAGTCTATCATAATTGTTAAAGGTCAAAATCCTCCGCTAATTTGCCCCCATGGCGAAGTACGAGTGAATTAACTTCTATAATCTTTATTAAATAAATTAATCTCCACATTCCAGGCTGTATCTGTGTGGCTGTAGGTTTAATAATCGCGATCCTAGACCTGATCTGGCCGCATCGGTTTTCGACGGTGCTAGAGGTGGACTACGACACGCCGTACGACAGACACGTACTGATTGTCGACAGTCGACAGCGAGCCAGGCCGCAGACACAAGCATCGTTACCTACTAGGATACTTAGGTTAGTTACTAGTTGTAGTCAGTTTTGGCATACTAGTGTTACCCTATTTCACCCTAGTCCACTTCTGGACTATGGGGCTCCTCTACATTAGAAGGGTTTTCCAAAAACTTCATGCTTGATAGAGCCCGTGACAATCTACTGGGTCTCCTCTATATAAGTGGTATTTGCCATTATCTTCGGCCTTGCCATGCACGTTGACTTGATTTACGAGAGAACGCTGCTGCCCAGTGTATGTTAAACGTGCAGCCATTTAGTTGGTTCTTCACTCCTCCCAGTGAAGATAGTGACTAAAGTATGAGTATCCTACCGTTACCACGCGGCGCACTCTTAATTGATTACATTAACTCTTTATTCTTCTGAAAATTGCAGAAGACTGTCATCAAAAACTCGTGACACAGAAGGACAGGTCTCCATGTCAATAGTTAGTGAAAACGAAAGAGGTCGGGACAATCCCGCCTACCAACATGAACTCAGGAAGCCAAACTCACCGTGGAGGTATCCGCTCTTCAGGAGACAAATTGACAGGTACTACTAATGTTAATTAGAGTAATTAAACATTATAATACGTCAATCTTCTGTGATGATAAATGGTTTTATGTAAATGTTTCAGAGCGGACTCCGCATCGAGTCTGGGGTCAAGCATAAACGGTAACAGTTCCGGTATAAAGATGTCGCCACTGGCCACTGGGGCACCCGTGGCGCCACCGTCGATCCCTCCGCATAGGTACATAACGAGTACTTCTCAGTCTTGTCGCTATGTTAAATAAATGCTGCTTGCCTGAATACAGTGAAGTGAGTATTATGTTGTGATGATGAAATGAGAGAGAGAGAGAGAGTCAGAGAGAGAGGATAGAGAGTGTACCTGCGGTTGCGCACTATAATATCTTCTGCTAACTGAGCTTTTCTATTTATAATGACGGGCTTTCACGACTATAAAATTTAGGGAAACCACCACAACAGATCACCGGTGTCAGCTGAATCATTTAATAATTTAAATTTCTTGAAGAGAAGATACGCCAATTGGTTCAATACTTGTAACTGATACAGCTACATATGTATATGGCAATTTAGTTTGTATTATCGTAATAAGAAAACCATACCAATCTCATTAATGAATTTTCAGCTCCATCACTGTGCAATGGAATCGAAAATCTATTAAACTTTAATAAAAAATTAAACTTCAATTGTTATTGTTCAGGTACCGACCTCAAATACCAGCGGCAGAGCGAGTGAAGGACATGTGGTGATTAGTGTAATAATAGCATAATTTAATTACACTCAAATAATAATAGGTGTTGGCGGTACGTCATCTAAAGTTACTGATCTCTGAGGACCTTTATGCATGGTGAATAGACAAGCCCACGAGTTAAAAAATTAGTGATGTAGATATAAGAATCCGTAGAAACAACACAAATAGAATCAAATAATTTAAGTACCATACATTAAGATGGCCGCTTATATGAAAATATTCAAGAGTTCCACCTTATCAACGATTTCTCAAGATGACAATACTAATGTTGAAAAGAAAATTGTAAATATGTAAATTATAGTTCGTAAGTATCTAAATTATGTGTTAAATCCGTCCAGTGTCATAAATGAAATGCCTAGGAAATAATGCTGTAACTCTTGTAAGCTATGAGTAAAATGTTATGACTGCATCGACACAAGTAAATGCTTTGTGCCATGTAATAAAACAAGAGAAAAGAAGTATTAAATAAGTGAATTTTAATAAGGACGAAAATTAAATGTATTAAAAAGTATTGGAACAACGTAGATAGCATTTGACATTGTTATTTAATCTGACAAAGGTATGAATGTTGAAGTTAACGACATATCAATTAAAATAAAATGACATCGAATCGATAGATGATAATTCGATAATCTGTAACTAGACCGAAGTCATTTAGTTATACGTGTAATTGTAAGTTATTTATTTCTTATTTTCAGTTGTTGTAGTTGATGAATGAATGTTGTGTGAAGCCATTGGTAGCAACAATCACAATTATAATTGTCTACGTCACATTAGTCCTAACTACTTACATCACGGAACATTTTCAATGTTGTGAAGATATGTTTGCAACAGTGAATGTGTATTGTACTTTGTATTTTAATTGTAACGATAGTGAGAATAGAATGAATGATTTAAATAATATTTATTGTGATCGAAAAAATAAACGAATTCGAAACTTTAACTTTGGTGTGTTTCTTAAAAATATTATTACACAATTTATCAACGTTCTGTTTCCAAATATGATGATGTTCACAATTTCATTATTGAAAAATAAAACAACAAAGTAAAGCTAAGAAAATACAAATTTAATCATTCTAAAATAATACCATAACCACTTGACACGCGTTACAAAATTGATAAACAATAAATATTGATTACTTTAAAAAATACCAAGTAACTAATATCCGAGAATGATCTTAAATGCAAAAAATCAAAGAAAAAAACAATATCAAACAAATAAATACAATTCCACAAGTCTCATCCTCTCAGCTCCTGATAAATTTAACCGAAATATAACAATAATTAATTCGATATTTTTTAAATTTATCTGGTCGACAATAATTTTAGAGATTGTGAAGCTTTTTTATTCCTAGTCGTTCTAATTAGAGGTAATATGTAAATAGTAAGTAATAGTTTCAATATGGTTACTTTCAATTTTATTTAGACGTTTCGTACTACTTTTTTCTAAGATTGTTCTTTGACGAGGTGCTCGAGGTTCAACTGACAAAGGAAGGCACTCCAGTTGACGAAACCGCTTCTTATCTCCATCTCCGCTTCGCCCCACAATTTACACTGAGAAATATGAATATAGGTACTAATAAGTATCAAAATATGTACCTTAATATATTTCTACAAAAAAATACCCATTTACGAGGATATCCAATATTTAGGTACGACGAACAGATTATTTCTGTTTGTTTGTCAGAAAGTTGAAAGTTTGTAGGTACGCCATGGACCTATCTATGCATGCATATTGCTATAAATAATAAAAACGAACTAGCTGATTTTATACAGATTATTAACACGTGCAAATAAACTGATGGACTTTAGTATTTTAGTCTAAATGGATAATAAAATCAGTACAATATATTTTACATATCACACTGTGACATTTAAAAAAATACGTTGTTACCTCAGTATCTTTCACGGGTGGGGCATGACGTACAACCTTCTCGTAATCAGCTTCAGTAAGATTGAACACTGGCCGAGTCTTAAAGTCCAGGAAATCCATCATATCTTCATAGTGGATATTGCACTTTTCATCTTTTAACAAACTGTAAAAAGAAATAAATGAAAATCACGATCTTTCTAATATTTCCTTGTTTATTAAAATTACTAGTAGCACCACAAATATTCACTAAAAAGATAAAGAAAATTTATTTTCCATGAGTTCACTGGGATATTTTTTGTACTATGAGTTTAACTTTGACATTCACTTTGACCTTACAAAATAACATTGAAAAAAGCACCGAATTAAACTCCAGTCATGGATATAGGTCAACGTCAACGATGATGTGATTGTGGAGGCCTGGCTTCAAAGCCTCGAACACAGGCGCAAGGTTGCAAGGCTTTCGGTTTTTTACCGGATACATTTCGGTGAGTGTGCGGGGGAATTACACAACTTGATTCCTCCCTTGTTCATTCCATCATCGTACCACAAAGCAATTGGCGAAGCGTCATCGATTCATGGTGGATGCTTCCTTGTGCGTACTGCTTAGGAGTCGAATTCTTTGCCAGAGTCTATTTCCTGAACGGTATAACCTGAGTGTTTTCAAGGCCTCGGGCACCAGGCTAGATAGTGGCCATAACGTTAGCCCATCAAATATTTAAAAAATAATGATAATAACTACATACATTTAGAATATTATTACTCACACTGACAACATACAATCCATGAGATCGGTGCTCATAGGTAGTCGATGGGCACGAAGAAGTTGTCGCAACCGTTCTACGGACAATACACCCGAACCAGTCGCGTCAGCGTGCATCAGGCCTTCGCGCAGACGATCCCGGTCATCCCATAAGCCCCGTGTCAACTCCGAGAAAACTAGTGACCTAGACATAAGCAATGTTTTATATTCCCCCGAAAAGGTAAAGGACAAAGGTCACATGTGATTGGATAATAACCTAACTCGGGAGTCGAAATCAAGACAAAGTGTCATGTCTTGGCTTGACAGTTGCAATCAAAAATCGAATAACGAGGTAGGTAAGTACATACTTAAAATATAAAAAACTAAAATAAATTTCCCAATATCAAGTTTTCATCCTTACAAGTGATCGTTATCAATTTGTGACGCGCGGCTAATAATAGTAATCAGTATCATACCTGACCATCTCTCTGCGAGGAAGTTTATCCTTGCCAGGGTCCCCACGGAAGAATCTAATCAGAGTCAAAAACTCATGCTCTGTCATCTTCTCACACATTATTTCTTTCAATGCTTGTCTACAAAACACAGGGAATCAATTAATTTAAATACAGGCCTTAAATACGTAACTGGCAACTCCAATTTGCTTTTGAGCAAGCCGTAATGTAGATATGTTCTCATTACTCTAGTATGTAGAGGTATAACAACTCACATTTTATTTAAACAACCATTTATCATTTGGATCTACTTACTTGAAACATCTAACAGACATGAGATCCTTTTTATCCGATTCTACAGCTTCCATATATTTTGCTACAAAGTTCTTGTATCCATTTTCTTGAGAAGCCAGCGTGCGACGGATTTTGTCCATTATCAGCGCTATGTTCGCCATCGGGTACTAGCAATCAAATACAAATTAACGTATTATTGCGCTGCTCATTAATATGAGCCTCTAGAATGATTTGAAACTAGTCAAGTTCCTCGTCAAACAATATGTGAATAAGCCGTAAAACATACAAATTAATTTAGTATATCACACGAAAGTAATAATACAAAAAAATTAATATGTTTATAGATATTTAAAAAACACTTTCAGTGGTACTTTAAAATTACGAAACAGTTAATACCGACCGAGGGTCGCACTTAACACGTGTTTAGTTTGCCTATAAATCTGCAAAGACAAAAAGTCCGAACTAAGAATCAAACTTTTTCGTCTCACCTGTTCGGCATTCAGCTCCATATATCGCAGAGCATATTCGTCAGCGGCAATGAGTCGGAATCGGTGCTTGTTGACAACCAACTCGTTGCCAACCCACATGTCTTTGTCCGTGTACGCTGGGGGCTCTTTAGGCACAAAGAAATTCACATCTGGCAGATACATTTTGTTGCGCCGGAAAAATTGACCACCCTGCCGAAAAAATGTTAGTAATGAATAAACCTCGAATGTTTTCTCGAACTAGTTGAACAGCTTCATAGTTTCAAACTCGTCGTTGATTATGACTCGCTTAGCATTTGCGTAGAACTCGCGTAGCAATGGCGTAGCACATGTGTAGCAGTGGCGTAGCACACGCGTAGCAGTGGCGTAGAACTGGTGTAAAAAAGCATAGAACCTAACGGGTAACCGGGGCTCCGGCTCGACGTGCAGGAGAAGGAACGGAGTGGTTTTTAGTCAATAAAAGTCTGACACTACCTCCCGCCTCACCCAGGCGGGAGCAGTTATTCCATGATTTTCCCCCTTAAAAATAGGTTGCGTAGCACATTGTGTAGACCCTTTATAGTCGCTTACGGTCGCAATAAAATCAATCTTCTCTACATTTCTACACACTCTCTAATATCTAGTTTCGCTAAAAATATTGATTATAATTCAATTAACATGTCTTACCAAGAAACCCGAATTGCGTTCGCCTAATTCAAAAACGCCAATAGTATCATCACAGAGAAAATATTTAATGATAAAATAGCGTCGACTATCGTCAGGGTTGTCAGAAATCAGACGAGCAGAAAAACGTAGGACGTGGGAATCGAAACCAACTCTGCAGCAACAAAAAAGAAATCAGAGTTATTAGTTACGATTAGAAGATGTGTATGTACATTTATAGATTTAGATGTATTTTTGAATAGTATATTACCTATCTTTATTAAGGAATTTTATAAAGTCCCTATGTATCGCTTTAGGTTCCACAGTACGACAATTTTCTGCGGAATCATCGTAGCTGCCGTAGCCATTCCAAGGAGGTAGTTGACGATCCGCCATATTGGAACTGACACATTCCTTGCTATCGTCTTGAGGAATTGGTAGTTTAGTGAATGTGTCTGAAAATAATCATTAGTTTATTATGCAATATAATCTGTTTCTGAAAGATACATTAACAAAAATTGTTGGTGTCAATCATTAAATGAACTTACCGAATCCATATGTGACGCGATAATACTCCTTCGTAAATGGATCACAGTCAGTAAGCACAACTTTGCGACCAAAGACATTCAGAACAGCACCAATGCTCAAATCGGCTGGACTATACGACGCTACTAGGGGACCGCCCGTCATTTCTATTTTGGGTGGTATTTTCTAGAATATTGTAAATTGCAAGTAAATATAAAAAAATATCAAGGAAGTAAGACATCTTATAATTTGACTTACTCGAGGCAAACGCATTCTTTTCAAAAACATGGGACCGGTCTCCGAACCGGAATTTGGTGCTACTGTTTCTTTGATCTCAATAGTATCGTCAGCTAGGAAATAATGTATCTCCAAATTATGCAATGTTCCGAATTCAGAATCACGGTCATCCCAGTAACCGTAGAACCTGAAAAATATTACTATGAAGTTAGCAACGCAACATATTGCGTCTTTACCTATAAATTCGACAATACTTTCCGTTTCGAAAAGGCAATTTTAAAGCAAACAACATATCTATATCAACCTTCACTTAATGTTTGGACAATCGTAGGTCTACATTATTTAAGTTTTTAAATAAACTTACGGACATAAAACACCTTACCTCAAAACTTGTCGATCAAAGTCAAGAAATTGTTTGAATGGCCTGTGTTTTGGCGGTTTCCTGGTATCGGGCGTTCTCTAAAATATTTAATTTCATTTACAACTGAACTTAATACATCATTATGAGCATAAAAGTTACTTCTATACTTACTTCTATAGCATCCGGATACGGTATAGGATCTGGTACGTTGACGCCAAGGCGATTTAAGAACACCCGTGTGAAGTTGTCACAGTTTACGATCTATAGAAGAAATCGTGGTTGATTAACAAGATGTTTCAAACACACAGTGTCTCATAAGGTAAGTACATACATAGTATTTTTTTGTTACATACTTTGAAAACTTTTCCATGAAATGAAACTTCCAGCCCAATATTCAAATCCAATACGTCGTAATATAAATCGTAGCTGTACGGAAGGCGAATCCTTTGACGACTGATCAATGTTCCTATTATAACAAATAGGCAGATATATCAATTTTATGTTATTTGCACAAAAGTAGTCATTTTACTTTTTTTTTCGTGATAACAGTGGAATAAGTGGTCGAGTGCTCTCGTGTTCAATTCCCGAGTAGACTATATTATTTTAATGTTGTAAATTCTTTATATTATCTTGGAATAAAGTTAAATGAAACTGTGCTTAGTGAATGTCAATAATAATTATGCTCCATCCATGCTCTATCTCTATTATTAACAAAAAAGTGCGCCATATGTTACAGTGCACAGAGGTAGGTAGGTAGGTAGGTACTGTAATCGATACAAAAGGTTTTGTACAGTCACGACCTTTTTGTCAGGGAGTAAAAGGTGTGACTTATTATGAATTATGTGAAAGCTATAAAAATACCCGCCTTGTGTCAGTCCACTATTATCAGTCTTCGGCTCCATCACCTTAATCGTACCATCTTCGAGATAAAATAAGATGTTCACCTTCCGAAGTATATGAGATCCTGAACGGTTTTCATGCAATGTTTGTTGAAAGAAAGCTTGGAATCGCAGTATCTAAGTAATAAGGCAAGATATTCGTTAACAAATATATTTATTTCCGGATTTCACTGTAGGCCAGTACGAACATCGAACATACGCACTAATATTTATTATTATTTATTTATTTATTAATAATAAAGGTACATGGTATGCCTTATAATCTAACGCTATGTCCAACAAAACTATATATAAATAGTTTGACTGTTGGATCTTCTATATTTAAATTACTATTTAGTAGGTATTAGTAGTTTACTACGATAATGGTTATGATTAATTTTAAATACATATGGTTATGGTAGTGTTGTTAATGATTAATTTTAAATACATATAGCTATGGTAGTGTGCTAAACAGATATTTTTCTAATTTAGTCTTAAATTTATTTTTATTTTTCTCTTCCCTGACTTCGTTTGGCAAATGGTTGAGTAAGTACAGGAAACGCTTTTTCATTGATCGATCACTATAACCCTTGGTACCTCATATTTACCAGACGACATCGATCGGGTGTTGTGTTTATTACAAACTGTTTGCTGTGGTTATTGGTTGCGAGAATGTATTTATGTTTAAGTCTGACCGGTAATACTTTACAGATTTTAATTTATTATATTATATTATATTATATTAATAATATTTTAGTATCAACACTTACATGCTTGTCATACATAATCCATGTTGGAAGGTCTGGTGCTTGTTTCCGGCAGTATAATGACGGAACCCTATTTCCACCTTCTTGTTTATCAATCAACATGTTCACATTACCGATAGTTGTAAAAATTGGACGAACTCCAAAGCTCTTTTTCCCTATCTATAACAGAAATGTATAATCATTGAAATATATATATTTATATGAATAATTACTGTAATATATAATATAATAAGAATGATATAATTTACTTACCATAGGATTTGTGCCATAACCAGGCAAAAGCGGTAGCCTTGGATTACGAATCGACATGATTCTAGATTAAAAGAGATCTCAGAGCTTAATTGAAAACAATCTGAACGTATTTATAAAAAACTAGGTACATATGCTTCAAAATCAAAATATTTTTCAAATTAATAAACAACTAACGATACTATAGCAACCCTTGATGTACAGAGTACATGTGGAATTTTGTATACCCATGGGTACACCTAAAATTATCCTGTTTCTGACATTTGTTCTTATTATAATAACCGCAATATTTCATGTCTATTGTATGTATATTAAAAATAAATATAACATTTAATGTAACTTAAAAATCGTAAATAGTACTACATCATTGCAAACGAATGAACAAAACGTGAAAAAATATTATCTGTAGTCAATCAAATGTCAAAAATTCGATGAATGGATAGTGACAGCATCAGCATGACAGCAGGTTGTCACTTTCAATAAATTCAATATTTATTTTGGATTAAAAAGACAAATTGATATTTTTCTATAAATAAACTTTAAACTCTTCACAATGATTGATGTTAAAGCTAAAATTAGTTCCTTTTTTATTTTCAACTCTAGTTTTGGACCACGGGAAGGCGAAGTAAGTTTATTTACTTTGGAAGAAACTGTTTCTTTAATTTTTTAATTAATTTGTAGCTTACTATCTTTACAATTGATATTTTGGCACATTTTATACCTACCCGAAATGTATATGGTCACATGGACCAAATTACTCAGTAGATCAAGATAGTTAAAACAAAACTTGATGGATTTCCAGGAGCTACAAAGGATATTATACTTTTACCCTAGTCAGACCAGTGCAGATACACAGAAAATGCAAGTCGGATTATGTGAAGCGGTTATTAAATTCATGTCGTAAGTACTGCTTTGATAACTAACAAAATAATTGGATTAAAATATAAGGAACTCAATTTGTAAAGTATGGAATGTTTACAATACAGCAGTTAACTAAAAATGTAATCTCTAAATTAATCTGGATTTATTTTGCAGTACATTCTCACCGAAGCCATGTGAAGCTTTACGAACACAGACAAAAAAATACATTTTCTATCAACCAGAAAAAGGATATTGGATGGTTCTGGTAAAAATACAAATTCCTTGTATTTCTATTTTTATCTTTATTTATAAACTATGTTGACTGCTTTATTTTACAAAACAAACCCTTCTACTTTGTAAAGATTGTATTGATGTTGCATAATAGTTTGTCTCTTTTTCAGGTTGTCAGAATTCCATACACAACAAAAGCATTGTCAGCTATTGGAGAAAGTAAAGGAACTGATTTTGTAAGTAACTTAACAAGGTATTATACCTTTTATCTCCAACATCCACTTATCACCAATTAACTATATGTAATTTTCTTACAAATCACAACATCACAACATAATTTGTAAATATTTTACAGAATCCTAAAAGTATACCTAATTAAGTCTTAGTTTGTTCAATTTATAAATTGGGCCTGGTGGATCTAGAATTTAATCCTCAGGCTGATCAATATAAGATTGAAGGTCCCTGTACTAGCATAAAGTCTAGAACCATGACCTTCCTCAATTTATTACCAAAGAAAAGTAGTTAGTATAAATGTATTCTCTTAATGTTGCAGGTAATCCCATCTGTGATGTTTGATCTACTAAAGTCATCTTATAAAATGTTCAGAATGTTCAGAGGATTGTTCAAAAACTTTACAGTAGAAGAAATATATTCAGTTTGTGACCAGTTCTTCACACCGGTAATATACCTATTTCTTGTTCATTTTAAATTTATGATATTTTTACATATTTATATCAAAATGACGTCTTTTCCAGTACATATTGTCTAGAAATATATCCAATGATGTGGCAGACGTCATTCAGGGCATCAGCTATTTGCCTCTAGACAAGAATGCATTCTTCAAAGTTTTATGCTTCATTGACTTATTAGAAGTTAATTATCCACATTTCAAATGTATTTCATTTATCTACAATGAGCAACTCATTTGGTAAGTTCCAAATATACAATTTTACACTAGGCAATTTATTTATAGCCTTAGGTCAGTTTGTATTCTCTATATATTCACAGGAACGGGTTGGATACAGATGACATGTTAACCTTATACCAATATTTGGTACAGTCCTTACTACCAAAGGAAGTGGAAAAGGAAATCCATGGAGGTGCTGTAGCTGCTGCCCAGAGACATGGTCGATTCATCCATCCTTCTGAAGGGAACCATGAAGAGAAACTAATGAAAGTTTATCTAAAGCGAGAGGAGGATTCAGAGGCAAAGCAGTATTATTTAGTTGTTTACAGAACTATGAGTGCCACTATATGTTTGACTGTTGATGGTTTGTATTTTACAAAGTGACATTTTTTGTGACACAAAATCTAACTGAATAAGTCAAAATGTATCTTTATTGTTTATAGTCACTGTGGAAGTACAGCCAGAGATGTTGAGATCATTAGACACTTTTATTGGACCCCAGCTGTCAACAATAGCCTCGATTATTGGTGAACAATGCACAATACATGCCCTGCAAACAGCACAGCTTTTATCAGAACACAAGTTTGTGTACTTCAATAGGCTGAATCTTGCTTTTAAAACTTCTGTAAGTAATTTTAACTATTTTCTTGGTTTTATGTCACACAGCCTCTAATTCTTTACAAATGAATAGCAATAATCATATTCAAATTTCTTTTACAGCCATCTGTGACCAAACTGCACCCTTCTACTGCTGTAAAGCCTGAAGTCCTAAGTATTATAGCAGATATACACACTGATAAAAAAAGGTATGTACTATGTTTATATTTGACTAAAATTTTTTCTGCTAAAAATTGTTTGCTTATGTATTAAATGAATTAACACCGATTGAGCTGAAGGGCTTTGTACCTCACTAGCATAAATCAAAAACTTTGTTGTGGAGTTTTTTAATTTGTTTATTATTTATATTATTTCTTTATTATCTGTTTGTTTTCTAGCCTTGGAAACTATGGAGAAATTATCATTAAAACCCCAGATGAATACTGGATTACAGGAAAGTCTTCAAATGACAGAGAATTTTATGTAATTATTCAAGAAAAAAATGCCAATCTTAAAGAAATAGCAGGTATGTTCAATAGTATGAAATTATTATATTCCAATAAATAGTGATTGCACCGAAAAAAACATCCAGTAGGTTGCCTTTCCCATGTCGACATTCTCACCAAAAAATAAATATTTTCAAATTGATAGCTTTTTTCTATAATGCTATTATCTATATATATAAAAGAAAGTTGTGTTAGTTACACTATTTATAACTCAAGAACGCCTCAATCGATTTAGATGAAAATTGGCAAAGAGGTAGCTTAGGACCAGGAGACGGACATAGGATACTTTTTATACAATACTTTTTTTTACTTTTTACCGAAAATCACGAACGGGAACAGGAGGAAAATGGGATTGCGCGTACGAAGTCGCGGGCAGAAGCTAGTTTTTTATATAAGAACATGTCTTGTTTCCTAAGTCGTAATTAAGACTGGTCTACAAAAATTCATTTTTTTAAAGTTACAGCTAAAGCAATACATCTTTGAAAAATGTATTTGTCTATCATATCTAGATTTTATGTAATCTGTTAACAAACTCAAGTAATTTCGTCATTTTAACGTATTTTCATTGCTATAAATACAATTAATTATTTCATTCAATATATTATTAACAAATTAATTTAAAAGTTACAAGTTTAATTTTTTCTGCTGCCTCGTTGGCCTAGTGGTCGCAAGTGCGACTGCCGGGCAAGGGGTCTCGGGTTCGGTTCCCGTCCCGACATTAACTCTTCGAGTACCGGTTTTATAGACACAATTAAAGAACAATAGGTCGTGGTCACCGGTGACCGCTTGGTGTTTGACAGTTTAAATCCCAGGTCGGGCAAAGTATTACTGGGGTTTTTAAAAATTGTCAGTAGTAGCACGGCGGAATTTTGCCCGGCATATGGCAATAGGTTCACCGCCTATTATATGGGACTAATAACATAAATAGTGAAAAGTGGGTGTTACATTGTATGGTGGCATACTGTGCACCTCTGCCTACCCCTTAGGGGATAAAAGGTGTGATGTTATGTTTTGTATGTTTTTAATGTTTTCATAGCACTTCGAATTGTTACTTTAACATTAACCATAGCCGACATATATGGCAGTTATTTTTCTACCGATTTCATGTAACCAATATTAAAAATGTTCTATGCATAACTCTGTCTGAATTTCAAACTGCTATAACCCAGTGATGACATATTCTAGAGATTAAACTCAAAGTGATATGAAGAGAATGAGATATGTACCTACTATATTTTATACTTATCAAAAAATGTTTAATTTCACACCTTATTTTGTACAATGTCACGAAATAATCAAAGAATGATACAATTTCAGGAATTTTACAGTAGATTACACAAAATTTATGCGTGACAGACATGAACTTTCTTTAAAGAATAAGGTTACCTTGTTTAGTTCTACTCAAAAAAAAATGTTATTTTAGCTGTGGCAAAACACTTGTCGACCACTGTTATTACAATGACAATTTCACAAATCATTGAGGAATTTATAGCACACATACTCTTGACATAAGCGATGTTTTTTACAACGTTCATTGTTTAACCATGTCATATTTTTGTTCACAGATGAAGTGAGGCGGATATGTGAAACCCAAATGAAAGGCATATTTTTTTATCCAATGTAACATAATAATTGTAAACCAATAGTGAATGAATCATACATTATCTGGATTGTCTGGCAACAGCATAGGACATGAGTATATTTATAATAAAACAAATGGATAATAATCCATGATGATAACATTTCCTATTATAATTTGTAATAATCAATAGACTACAAATTAATATATCATTTATTACTGTGTTGTTAAAATAAAACAAACATGGTATTATATTATAACATGTCTATAATTATTTCGTAAATATTATTTATGTTACATTTAACACTTGGTAATGAATACTCATTATAACTTAACAGTAATTGAATGCTAATCAAGAGAAACTTTGTCTTCTTTTTTCCAAAACTTCTTATACACTCTAATAACTAGGTCTCTATTTTCATATGCCCATGCAAGTAGAACAAAAAGTAATGATACAGCTCCAATAGATATGTGTAGGATTATAGAATCTCGAGATATTTTATTTTCTGACAATTTACAAACACAGCCTGCTATGAATAAAGTCAACAAAAAGAATTTACCAACATAGAGACCTTCTAATGGCTTATAATCTGTACCTTTATATTTGTTACTGATAAAGTGCACACTATGAACTATCCTAGCAAACATATTAATACAATTTGATATAATAAAACCTACTGGTCCGAAGACATAAGTTAAAACATACGACAATAAAAGAAAACTTATCGAAAATAGTACCATTAAATAATTATAACTGTTCAACTGTGTGCTTGTCATTGTAGCAAATGCATAACATTCAGTAACTCCATTTACTGCTAACAAAACTATAGCCAAGCAATGACTTCTAAGTAACTGAACTGGCAGGCCACTTGCAACAAATGACTCCCCACCATACAACAACAGTAGTGTTCTAGCATAACTTTGTCCAAATACTAAGACTAATAAACCAATAGAACTGACAGTTTTGCATACTTGTGACAATACTGTGCATGATTCTTGAATTTTATTTTGATCTTGCTTGTGGAGAGGCAGCTCTCTGCTCACCATTTGGGTGAAATAAAAGTAGCTGCTGTCTTCAATAGGTCTGAAAACAAATCTTGCTGCCAGACTACCCAAGTTGTTAACTACATCATAAGTGGCCTGCTCACTGAAGCTCATTACTGGACTCACTGACATCACATATTTCTCTCCTTCTGTTAACAGTTGTTTAACAACACCCTGCTTAGCAAAACTAAGTGTCAGTGTACCTAACTTTTTACTAAACATTGCATTTACCGATCCACTATACTTTGGCAAGAAGTCTAATATTGATGTAAATTGAAAATCATCCATGTTATCATAGAGCCTGTGCAAAACTGCTTCAGGTACTACTTTACTTTTTAAAGCTCCTTTTCCATACAGTGGCTTATTTTTGATGTACCAGTAGAAGAATATGTAGTAACTAACTACTATAGCTCCTATGCTGCCTACTTGTGCCACTGAAAATGCAATGAGAGCAAGGGACCTGTCATATATAACAATGGACAAGAATAATAAAGTTCTCACAAATATATGCAGAGTATCAAGAGCAACTTTTAATTTGATGAAACAGAAAAGTTGTGCCACTAAAGCAACATTAGCAGAACACAACTCTAACACACAGGATAAGGCCACACTCCAACAACCGAATGTATATTGGAAGGCATGTTCTGGGTGGCCCAGTGGTAACCAGTTCAGCCAAATATATACAAAAACAATAGACAGAACACAACTTACAGGTACAGAAAGCCAAATCTGGTTGATAAGTTGCCTCCAGCTAAACTCGTCTTTTTGTCCAAGGCATGCTCTATTGAATGGTTCTCGACTGAGAAATAGTATTGTACTCTCCAAGAGCAGTAGTCTTACATTCATAATACCAAGAACTTCATGTCCAACATTTCTAATGACCCATGCATTTATCACAAATGTTACACATCTAAATAGAATTTGAAATATAATATTAAATGATGCATTCTCAAGGCTACTCATTAACAAGTTTCGTCCCATGGTGATTTATTTGTTCTTCTCAGACATTAATTGCGTTTCCTTCACTTATACTTGGTTGTATGCTGCGCTTTACAACGTAAATCTTCTTATTCGACAAACAAATCACAAACCAATGGTCATCATAAGTTATAGATATCTTCTTGAACTGTTCATTTGGTCCAAATGCTACAGGATCGACCCTAAAATATTTACAAGTTTAATTAAAGCAGTAGACAATTTGAACACGTAATAATGACCACATGGTGCTGATTCATTATGGTTTCGTTATTATCACACGTAAGTGTATAAAATGTACTTACTTATTCGATAAGGAAATAAGATCAGTAATAATTGTAGCAACGCGTTCGTCGTTTTCCAATTCACCTCCAGATTCAAGGACAGCCCCGTCCTCTGTTAAAACCAAGTAACCAATCTGATCAGGAATCTTTTCCATTATAACTGCAATATCAATAAAATTTTAAAACACAACACAATATAACAAAAGATGACTTGAAAATGTTTTATTTCCGAATTTACCTCATATGTCTAGATGACAGACTGCAGCTTTGATTTGGCTGTCATTTTATTATTGACGTTGACTCAGTCAGACATTTTGTACGGAGTTGCTACTTTTTTATAGATCAAAGACCAGAGAATTGCCAAGTGAAAAATAAGTAATAATTAATGACGATGAATTACTATTTTGTAGTCTTAAGTTGTTTTAAATTAGTAGAATGTAGGTTTAGCTATTTTCAATGATAAAATAATGTAATGATCCCAAAAACAAAACATGTTTGAACTTAAAACAAGACTTCATGTTCATTCATTGCTTTGAATGTCGTTCATATAGATTGTCTATTGAATTGAACTATTGATGTAAAAATGAATGAATAAGAATTGGCCACAGTTGGAAAGAGAAAATACCTTTAATAATTTTGTGTTAGCAATTTTATTCAAGAGTTTGTGATAAATTTTACGAAATTGTAGAATCACAATAAAAACAGGCAAGTACACTACTTATTAAAGAGGTAGAATAGTTATTGGATAATTTAATTAGCATATACTGATTTGTTACGTACATAAACATATGCGCTGCAAAATAATATTTGGAAGTATGATTTCATTTCATTGCCCCGATATTCGAAGCCCCGACTAGCTCGATAACAACACAGTGTTTTTATTTTCTTTATTATAATGTCGATGTTATAGAACCTTATCCACCTCTGAGTGTTGTTGTTCAGGCACGGTTTATTAATTTTGGTGCGACAGAAAGTTTACTCTGTTGAAGCACCTTGGGGTGCACAATGTTTTGTCACATCACATTACAATGTAGGAAAGGAAAACATTATTTCTGAATGTGGTGAAATAACTCCAGAAATGTAAATGGAACAAGTCAAATACTAATGTCATAATGTTATTGTGTAAAATCAATTTTGTAGCACAATAATTAATACAAAAATGAAATAATAAACACTTTCATTCTCAATTTATTTGTGCCAACTTTAGCCTTTTGTTATGTTTCATTCTAGAGAGAATTAGTGTCCCTCAATTTACATGTAACATATCTACTTTTAATAACATTGTAGGTACTTAATACATACAAGTAACTTGTTTGAATCATAATTCATTCCAAGGTCAAACAATGATTAAAATAGCATATAAAGGAAAATACATTATTTTGTGACATTTTAATATTATTATAATGTAATAAAAATAGTTTTTATTAGAACAAAAACAGAAGCAAGAATGAGTAATGTTATCAGTTTATCATTTTTATTACTTTACATAATACCTACATACTTATCTTTCCATATCTTGTAATAAAGAAAAACAATAAGTGCTTGTAAAATTAAAATGCATGGAATAATATAAACAGTAAAATGTGTACACAAGTGTGAGCCCCATTTTGTCGTCTACCACCCAAGTAGCTATGACACAGTAGTAATTATAAAAAAATACTTCAATTGCAAACTGGTAAATCAACTTGATCATTTAATAGTGATTTAAAATGCATCAAAATTATGGCAATATTAATAGAGTAGGTAATATTAATAAAGTGGAACTGTTAAAAAGACATTTAAAAATTCATCCTAATTACTTGCAATGAATTCTTGATTTGGCTGACTCATACCAGTTATGATTGTATTATTACAAACAAAATTAATTATAAATCATTGTCACAGTCTAAGGTACATTTTGAACATATTTCAAAGCATTCATCATTTTTACACAAAGCTTTAGTAAAAAGTACCTTCTCTTAATATGTATAAGTATCATAATATTTACTGTTATATCTTTTTTTCACAGGTCAAAATGTTAAGATTTCGTCCCAAATTAGGGAGTGAGCGTAACAGCGAATGGCGCTGTTGCTTCTGTCTACATGTGCGCACTGGCACCATTCTCTTGGGTACATGGCACCTTGTAAGTTATTTTGTTATTACTGAATCTTGATTTTATTTTTCATGGTGATGAAATCCTTAACAATATTGGTAAGTGTTTTGTAAGATGTTTTTCAAAATGAAATACCTATAATCGGTTTTGATTCCTGGGTATTATTAAGTCAATGTCAGTAAAAGTATTTAATCTGGAAAATTGCCTGGAGCCTGGCGATAAATTGTTCCCCTGGAGCTTGCAGGATATCTCGTTTATAGGATCCAAAATACCAAACTATCTAATAATTTTTTTTAGATGCTGCACCTCATAGCGTTAGGATTCCTAGCTGCTATAGTGCGTGATCCCCGACTACTTGACGAGCTGGAGCGGGACTCTGCTCCTGTCCCAAACTGGAGCGATGTAGCGCGAGGCAATGAAGCTATCCCTACGCCTCTCTCCAACGTTGAGCCTCCACCGAGCTCGTTCCCGCAACATGTTGAACCACCAAGAGATCACAGCCTCATATATCGTAAGTATCGAATTTAAACTTGTCGCCTACCAGTGATAGAATGACCTTATAGTCAAGGTGCCGAAAGATGGGAGTCAGCTTATTCGGCTGGGGCCATTCAGCGTCTTCTGACGCAGTTCCATTTTTATTTCATTTAAATTATGCCCCTACACCTTTTCTCCTGTGTCATGGGTGTGTTTACAAACATACAAATTCACATGCAGATCACACCCATACCCAGAACGATTTGTGGGTCGCACATTTTTCCGTGCGGGAATTGAACCCACAACACATTGCGTGTGTCACTGCCATTATTTAAATGTTTTCTCGTATCGCATTATTATCTTGTTATTGTTTTAATTTTTAATACTATGAGTAATCCAGACTCCGTGACCATACAATGTCGTAAACAGTATAATTTTTGATACTTTTAGATACGACATTGTCCCTCAGTTGGTAAAAAATCGATAAATACCTACTCCCCTGCTTGCTGGAAAGGCATTTGCAGTTTTGCAATAAGAAGGTCATTTCCTATTTTGGATTCCCTCGTAGAGGTATTGATTTTGGCGTGTTTGCCAACGACTTTCTTTTATTACTTACATCAGAACTTTTACATGGATTTAGGATTTAAATGTTGCTTACAGGTGACATTTCATGTATTTATGATATCTCTTAGTATTGTTAGGCAACAGCTGTGACCTTGAACACGAAGCTGCGTGGCTTAATCTAAATATGTAAATAATTGCCACCCTGCCTACTACGTGCCTGTATGTAAGAGTAATGGTGCTCGAACAGCAATTTATTATTATACAATTATTGTTAACTACATATTTATGACTTCAAAATATTAACAACAAACAGCTTAACAATACAGTTATTCGTATTGTGTAAGTAGTTGTTTACTGTTCTTATTCTTTTAGTAAGACGCAAATCATTTGACCTACTGTTGGACAATGTTATCAAATCGTTGTTGAAGTTAGCATTTTTTTACACATCATTCACACTATCTATCTTATGTTTTCATTGTATTTAATTAAATAGATTGCTAGTTAATACATGTGTAACATAATATTAATTATTATTTATTACATTATGATATCTCCGGAAATAGACGGCTGAAGTATTTTAAGCGCTTCTATCTCGTTGGTCTAGTGGCCGCAGAACAATTACTGTCCAAGGCTCTCATCTCGGGATCGATCTCGAGTCAACCAAGGACTTTAGTCATTTTTAATTTTCTGAACATACTCAATCATAGCACGAATCTTTATGTTATGTTATATTTTTATACTACTCTCCCAGTTGCCGTATTATGATGCCCACACATGCCAAATCTGTCTCTGTACTCTCCTGTTCACCCGTAATGATTGGGGTTACTGAATAAAATGATCTAATATTTTGTAACTCTGTCTGTACTAGATGATGTGGATGTGGGTGCACTGGTTACAGTGTGTACCCTGGCCATCACATTCATGCTGATCTACGGAGCCGCGCTCGGCAAGCCCGCCCATCTACTTCCTTTCTTCTGTCTTCAGATCTTCGACTTTGCTATCACTGTGTAAGTTAATTTACCATAACATTTATTTTCTTATGCTATACCAGCATAAAATATATCTTCAACCCGCCTGCCAAGGTTGAAGATAAATGTCAAAGTAATCGTCCCGTATAACAAAAGAATAATAACCATGACTGGTGAATAACGATAGTATTATAGTTGTCGGAAGTTTTAGTTCAGTTACTGAACTTTTTACAGTGTAGCGCGACAGATGATAGGTCTGTTGAAACCAGATTAATCACAATTGTAATCGAAAGCAAGGCCTCTGATAAAATATGTATATGCATTGAAAATACATTATGAATCAGAACAAACTAGCATAATTATAGTGCCAATCATATTTCCCTATAATGATTTACATTCGTTTTGGAGATTAGTATAATGTTCTAATGATAACATTGAATGTAATAAATTTTTGTCCAGACTCTCGTGATAAACTTTTAAGACTGTATAGAATAATAATGTCATACTAATAATACAATTTTGTATTACGTCAGTCAAAACTTGATACCTTTTAAAATTCCTAGAGCCAGCTGTTGTAGTTGTGAAGTAAATTCAAATGTATTATTATAATATTCTATTAAAATAAAAAACGAAAACTAGAGACTACATTTTTGTTGATAGGTAATTATAATGAATTTTAGATTAGATATTTATAAAAGTAGCCTTACGTTCTTGATACTATACTGCTAGCGGAAAAAATAAACTGTATTTACAATCTTATTGTAGAATCATCCCCATTTGGTTATATATCTATATCAGGGTTTTGCTATGGTTCGCAATACACTGGTGGGTCGTATTATGAATAAATTTTAACTAGGCCCTATCAGTAGAACGACACTCTTTTTTTTTATATTGGTTACGGTCAAATTTTCTAGAGGTGGGTTCAGTTTATACCTAAATCTTTTAAATAGTTCGTAGCCAACACAACTTCGGGAACCACTGAATTATACAATAGTGACACTATTATAGTGTCATATTATTCTCGCCTCGCCTGATACAAGATTTTTCTAGTCCAGGCACCGAACTATATGAAATGTACTGTTTACTTAGAGGATATATTTTTGTATTTTATGCTCATTAATATTTCTGTAATTAAGATTATTATTATTTGTCCTGCAGCCTAACTGCTACGGGCTACCTATGCTACCTGCGCTCTATCCACCGACTGGTGGCGGAGACCCGGCGCGTGCCGTGGCGTGCTCAGTTACTGCAACTGCCCGCGCCCTGTCTCGCGCTCGTCGTACTCTCTGCATTCCTAGTTGCCGTGCTGCTCAAGGTAACCTACCTTTTTACGTCTATTTAATTCTATAGGAGTATTGAATGAAAGGCCCAAACGTAACCTCTTGCCCTTACCTGAAATCAAACCAAAAATGTAATGTTTAGATTTAGAAATCGGTTACTATGGATACAACATAAGTCTAGAAATATGTGTACCTTGCTTTTATCGGTTTTCTCATTCGTTCAAACTGTAATTTCTAAAACTTGAGTGTTAATTTTCATATTGTCTAATTTCAACTGCCTAGTATTTAGAATTCAATTTCGAATAATACTAATATATCTTCAACTGTTCCACAGGGCTACTGTATCAGCGTAGTATGGCGCTGCTACAAGTACCTGACGATGCGCGCGCACGCACTACAAACTCCGTTCGTGATCTCAAGCGATGACGTAGTGAGTACAGGCCAGTTAGCGCCGTACGCGGCGGCGCCCGTGCCGGACTACTCCAGCCTGCTGCCGGACTACGAGGAGGCAGTCAAACAGACTCCGCCGCCCTCATACCGCGCCGCCACGCTCATGGCCGCCGCTGATCCCTCGCTTACAACCGTTGTAAGTACTGATTGATGCTAAATAACATATGTATGTAACCTGTTAGTATCTAAAGAAAATTAAAGATAGTAAATGGCAAATATATTGCTCATTATTATCAGTTACTAGCTACTTCCGCGCGGTTTTACATGCTCTGCTCAGCTCTTATTGGTCGTAGCGTAATGTTTTATAGCCTTCCTCGATAAATGCACTATCCAAAACAAAAATTTCGTTCAAACAAACAAAAAACAAATTCCGCTTTATATAATAGTATAAGATGTGTAATCCTATGTTAGAAATAGTCCTACAATGTCCAGGCTATTACTGCCTGAAATTTCCGAAATACCAAAAAGCCTAATACTCCACGCCTATAATCTACGCCGACTGCTTGTAATCGGGTGGTCTGTGTGCTCGTTTGCCGCCCTATGATATAAAAAAAAACATATAAAACAAGAATTATAAGTTGCACAATTTTTTATACAGGGTAAATTTTTTTGTAACATTTCCTTTACTTTCCTCAGCAGGAGAGGGCACAGAATGAGCAACCCGTGCCGCAGCCTACTAACACCATGGTGGTACTGCCACAGAACGGCACGCAAGCGCGCGTCTGAATCTCATCTCTTTATCTGACAGCTCCGAGGATTCACACACATAAGGGCTACTTTATGACGTCATAAACTTCTTCGTAGCGCTACTGATATAAATGCTATGTTAGTAAAATCTTTCCCAATACAGGCTGGATGTGTGGAATTATTTTGTGAAGCGATATCAACTTATATGAAAAACAATTGTATCACAAAGACTTCTGTCTGACAACATAGTAATTATTTGGTGCTCTACAGTAGCGCTCCAAAATCCTGCAACTGCACGATTTGCACTGAAATTACTGCACAGCAAGTAGAATCATCTAAAGAGCTATTGATATTTACAAGTCCAGCCCTTATGATTGTTTATTAAAAAATTTTGGTTATAATCCTCGTTGCTTTCATTAAAAAACTTAATATCTGAAGTTATTTTTTAAAATCTTTGTCTTTCACTTTCATCTAGTTGTATATTTATTTTTAGAGAAGTCACTGAGATCGTTTTCGTATTATTTATTTTTATTTTGTAATATTAATACTGTTGTAATTCTTGTGCTTGACTTTGTGGGATAGGGCCACAGGTAAAATATCTTGTTTTGTCATACCAGGAGTATTGTGCCATTGCGTTGATTGTAATAAATTTTATTTTTGTACTTCATGAAATCATTAGGATTATATTCCTTCCGAATCATTGGATACACCGTTAAGTACACTGGAGGCACCCGACGAGGTATCTCGTTTGCGTTAGATTTTCTGTACTTAGTTTAATTTACTATGTTGGATATATTTTATGATAATTTTGTTATAAAAAAAATGTCTTCATCAGTATTTTGTTTGAAATGTATACAAATATAAATTGATTTATACATTCCTGAATTTTGCATTGTCAAACTCTCATGTGGCGTCAATTTGTGATTACGCCGTCCATTTATTATTTGACTGGTAGTGGCCTCGAGTCCTGACGTTGAAGTAGTGTACATCAGTTTAGCTGTTGTATTGAACTGTAGTTTACCACTTGATGTAATGTCACAGTCAATAATATCAAAACTTTGAAGTCATTTGTATTTATATAGGTAGAAAAATAAAATCAAAATCAGTTCTCTATACATAAAAACTCATTGTCACTGATATTATAATACAGTTTTATTGACGTGATTATTTCGATGAGCTTATGAGTTCAGGCTCTTAAAATGAAAAGGGCTGTTCTGATATAATGATGTGATTAAACCTGTATAATGTGACTTAAGAATTAGTTGATTACATGGTGTATGACTACTCAGGGTTGATAATAATCTGAGCTTGCAGTAGCCTTCCTCGTGAGATCTATAATTATATCTTATAAATATGATACGAAAGTACATTCATGTGTAATAGTTATTCACGTTTGTTTCTCCGACACTGACGCGGATTTATTTGTGCTGCCGTGGAACTTAGGCAGAGATGCATGCCACTCATTGGTGCCTTATCATATCGCTAACGATTGTTTGTAGTACCTAATCTTGTGAAACATCATTCTAAATATAGGTACGTACTATGTAATTATATGTAACTGTAGTACCTACTTAGATAGGGTGTGACGTAGACATTGCTGTTCTCAACGCTTTACGTGGTAATTTGGTAAGACACCGTAAGTAGTTTCGTATTGGCCTAAAATATGGAAATGCGTCAGCGTTCACTTCTACTACGCTTTTATGTATGTACCTAATTGTAATGATAGGCCTCGCCCAATCATAAGAGTAATTACTAATAACATTAAAAGCCAAATCTCGTTAATGTTAGTTGTCAGATTCGTGTCATTTCCAATTTCATGTGTATTTGTGGTTAGTGGGAATTGGGCGGACATTTGATTATCTCGTTGATCGAAATTAATTGCTCAGTTTTAACAACTAACCCTATCTTATGTTGTTTATGAAATTCTTAGTTGTTTCGTCTATTTTAGTACCTACATTGTAAATGCACTAATGATAAATTGACGTGTATAACTAATTACTTATTAAATTATACTTAATGTAAAATATTCTTGAAATAAATCATAAATAAAAAGGAAATTTAAATTATTTAATTATATGTTAGTGACATAACATCAGGCTTTTATTCCCTGGCGCAAAAGTAGGCAGAATGTTCGTAGGAAGAAAGTCGTTTGTCGTTATACATAGAAAAGATGTCTAGTAAAATTCCAATACCCTTGTATAAACGTTTAAAGTCAAATTCCTTTTCATCACAATCATCATCATCATTTTTAAATACTTACATTTCAAATACCTAATTACCCACATCGAATCCTGTAAAAACAAAACTAAAATAAAACAATGAACAAATTACGTAGTCGCAAAGTTCTTATAGATATTGAATGGTCCTACTGAAAATCTAAAGATTGGATATACAATGTAAAAGAGATATTAAATAGAAGAAATACGAGAACATAATAATACTTATTCATCCGCCAAAACAAGAAATTGACAAACACAATGTATCTTTCTATAACAGAAACATATGAACTAAATTGAAAATGCTACAAAAATATTTACTTCGCATAATTAACCAGGTATCTACTTCCCTATTGATGTCCTTTAAAATATCTAGCTAAGTGTGCCTAATGTTTACAATTAAGTTACGTAAGGCATAGGTCCCTTAAACTTCTTCGGCAGCTTTAAAGGTCATGTTTAGGGACAAACATGATTTACAAACAATGGGCTGCATCTGCGCGCGCAGCTCGACGGCGCGCCATACGGCGGCAGGTTCAGTGATAGAGAGGGTCGCGCTCGGACGACGCCGGCCGTCGGGACGCGCGCCGCCGCCTGCATTCTCTATTTATATCGACGGTCCCCCGCCTCTCTTCGCGCCTGCGCAAAACACATCTGAAAACGACGAAAGTGAAAATTGCACATCATGATCGGTGCACCGCACCGCTAATAGAGGACCATTGCAGCAAATACACCGCTAATTAGCGATTTGAGGACACGGAGCGAGCCGGCGTGCAGTGCGCCAAGAGGATGGCCGTGAGGCGCACGGCCACAGACCTCATCAGCACTGCGGCACTTCTGCGTCACATATCAGCTGTTTCGCCGGCGAGGGGCTCGCACTTGTGACGTTTCTGGTGTGTCGCGTGCCGCAGGCCGCCGGCACGATGGCGTCCACCATGCAGCTAGAGTTCACGCAGGCGATGACCGATTTCAAGACGATGTTCCCAGATATGGATGACGATGTTATTGAAGCCGTACTACGCGCTAACCAAGGCGCTGTAGATGCGACTATTGACCAACTCTTAGCTATGAGTACGGATAACCAAAATGAACGTTTGCGGCTCGAAATGGAACGAGTGGAAAGCAGTACGCCGTCACGTCGCAAAGACCGTCGCTCGGGCTGCAGAGCTACTGACAATGGCGATGATAATGATACCACAGCCCTCGTGTAAGTATAAACTCTCATTACTTTGTTTAAATGTTAACTTAAATATTTTTGAGACATGAGCTAACAATGTCCCGAACAATAGCTCTAGCAATGGCTGAGATACAAACAAACCGCGTCAACGGATTCAGGTTATTGTGTGTCGGTCAAAACGATTACGTCTTCCGTTCATAGTCATATTGTCATCTACACTGGTAGTTCAACTGACAATTGAGGCAACAGGTTAGCATGACTAGCGTAAATATTCTGGGCATCGAGTTTATTCACGTAGATATAATAGACGGATAAATTTTCTCTCACATTAACTTTAAAAGTTCATGACTGAAAATTAGGACCTAGTCACGTCAAGAAATTTACACGAAGTCTTAGATAAATAGTAAACAAGTGTTAGTGTAAAATAAGCTGTATAATCTCTTCCCTTATACGTCTTAATTGTAACGATTATGAACAAAGAAGTAAAGAACACAATAACATAATATACAACTCATGTAGTGGGCACGACGCTGTAACTCTCATTTCTTTATAGTTTTTCAAAGGTATTATATATTTTGTATTTTAACCCTTGCTTCTAAAATTCAAGCGGTTTCCTCGTTGTGGTCTAGATTTAATAACCATGTGTTCGTAGATACAACACTTTCATTATAAAACTACGTGACTTATTACTTTCAATTACAGAGACGTTGATGACGATTCAATTCCCTTAGCTGTAAGAAGGAAATGGGTACCTAGAATGCTGGGCCCTCTACCTCCCATGTTTCTACGAATACCACCCGGTACAGACGCAAGAATAGACCTGAGTTTAGAGATGGATGACGACAAAATTGCCACCTTCCTGCAGAATGAGGAGTTCATGGCGGAACTGCGATGGAACCAGGAGTTCATGGCTGCGTTAGACAGTGAGCAGGGACAGAAAACAAAGTGTCATGACGATGAGGCCGCATTCAAGGAGAGGCTAAAGAACATGGGCAAATGTGAGTACAAAATTGTATACAGGATATTTTTTTTTTAAATCTGCCTCTTGATAAAGTAGTACTTACCTACAGATATTCTCAAACCTGTGTCATCTAGATCAGTCAGTATCTACCTACTCACACTACGGTCAATGCTATTGTAATATGATTGCTATGCCAAGTGGCTCAAGTAAACAATCGCCCGTACGTCAAAAATATTGTTATATGTTTTCAAATATTAATATTGTGTACCTATATAAAAAGGGGGTTGAAGAAAGTGTAACGCAATATGTTGACCCATTATTTAATACCAATTATCGTATTCAATCATTACAAATATACTCACTATACAAAATTAGTTCAGATAGTGAAGTATTATCGTTCCATACATTTCTTCACAGCATCCCGCAAGAAGTTCGCCCAGCTCTCGAAGATGTTTAGTCGTGGCGGGTCGCGGCGGTCGGGCAGCGCTCGAGCGCCACCTCGCGGCCCGCCAGACAGTCTGCTGCTTCAAGAGGAACATAGTGACGATGACGACCGCCCACAGCACCACGTCAAAATATAATGGTATACTCTGAACGTACAGGTTTAAACGAGAAGAGAGCCTTATAGGAAGTTACAAGGTTACGGATAAGACTGGGTCTGTTTTGTGTAGTATAAGAAAGGAATACGATTGATATTTTTATGTATAAGAGCTAAACGAAAAGCCAACACTTGTTAAAGGTCTTTAGGCTAACAATGAATATCCTGATTTACCTATAAGCATCGACATTATACTTTGAATGACAGAAAGAACTGTCGCTTTTTGAAGAGTCCGGCCTGTATCTATGTTGTAAACTTATAGTGAATATCGTGTTAAGTAAGATGATGTTGTTAAATTGCAATAACTCTGTAAAAATGTTTAAGTAAGTAGTTCAAGGCTTGACTGCATCCGTCATACTTGTAGATAGGCAGGTGGATTTCGCTTGGGAAGAAGGGCCGTCTCACTATCGTATGCTAAATAGTTGAGGATTTTAGATTCCATTTCCTCAAATGTAGGTTTTGTTAGATAAATATTATACTGTAAGTAAGTACCATATAGCAGAATGCACGGAGGGCGCCTGTATGGGCATGAGACACGAAGTTTCGTACTCGGCTATAGGTTAAAGACGGCCCTGGCCTTTGTCTGACAGGTTTATAGAAATTGTATTCCAGCATTTCTCCTATTCTAAGAAATAAAATATTTTCACATGCATCTTCCATGGTTTCATAAAAGTCATGTATGAATAATGATATAGACATGGCCTTCATATACACGTAGTCACATCTAGAAAACTGCAGTCAATTTACATAGAAATGGTAATCGAGTGGTCGACTCTTCGATAACTTAATTATGCACAAACTGTCACATCAGTGCGAGTGTGGAAGGACTTGATATTTTATACTGGACATGGATACGTTTGCAAAGAAAGGCTGATAAAAGAAACAAATGTTTAAGTAAATTATAAAGTAACCACTTCATAGCTAGGTAATGTAAATAACTGTTCTAATAGACAAATAGTCTGCTTTGTTCGATACGAATTTTAGTGCCGTTAGAGTTAGATACTAATTTTGTTAAGGTCATCGTCGTTGATCGAAATCTGTAAGCTGATGGGTAGTTAGATAATGCACTGGCTGTACTTTTGTCTGCACGATTGACCATGACAATGAGGCTTTACTGAAGCCTCAAATATAATAAATACCGCCGTTTATTCCGTCGAAGCGAGCTTTGCATTACTCGGGCTTACCAAGTGGAATATAAAATGGAATCGAATAAAGCAATATTAAATTAAGTTTGTTCTTTGGCATTTGTAGTTGTGTTATGTACCGTACTGATGTCCATGTATGAGTAACTTCAGTTTATCTTGCCAATGTAGGTAAGGTATTCTTCACAGCTAAAATTAAAAGCAATATCTTCACAAAATAAAGGAATTCTATCTAATATTTGTCAGAAAAAATTGTTATTAAGTAAAAAAAATTGTTGAAATGTTTTGTTTGTAATTAACTTACCTAGGTATTATTTACCAACCTCAAAACCAAAGAATTCATGCAATAATGCGCTACAACCTAGTCGTCTTAAATAAAAAACACTACAGTTAAAATAATTACGTGGCTACTGAAAAAATTGTCTGAATTGTATTTTTATTTTCGTTTAATACACATTTTTATGTTAATTAAGTTTTGTAAAACGGTCTAATGTTTTCTGAACCTACTTTTTGTAAGTATGTATTGTTCTACCTAGGTATGTATGTTGTTGTCTGAATACCACCATATACTCTGTTCGGAGAAATTGCCACGGACATCGTAATAAATACAAACTACAAAATGCACTTTGTGTAGAGTACTAAATAACTCTACATTACCTATGTAGAGCTTTAGTTTGTTGTACTAACAAGAGCTACGAAAGTGTTGCCCGTTTATACAATGCTTTATACCTAAGTCCCCTTCTGTCGTGAACACTGTAAATTAATTTCTTATGCTACTGAAATAAAAGAAATTATTTATAACACTACTGCCGACTTTTTTTTCAATGTTCAAGGTAAAAAAGCAATAACCCCATGTCTATCGAACTTATGGATCACTAATTTTATTAACCTCATTGTATTAGGACTCCATCTTATGTTATTGCAGAGAACTCCATAAACCGTATATTACTCTGCAAGCTCCCATCTCCCAAATTCCGATTCGTACTCAGTGACCGAAACTTTAAATAGAAAAACACTCTGAACTCGCAACATATTTCACGACAGTGCATACCAACTGATGATGCTAATGTTATACCATACTTTAGTAAGTAGATAGATAACTTCAGTAGTTACCAGTTAATTGCAGTATTAATTTAACCTACTACGTAACTTGAATATGCTGCCAACGTAAGCCAATCCATATCAACTAATAATTGCCTTTTACATCGGCTACATGAAGCGAATAATTCCACCATTCCTTTCATAGGAAATCAGGTTGCAGTGTTGCACGTATGCTAACGAAGCACATTATTAGTTCACAATTTCTATGCGACCATGGTAATAGAGTAAAGGAGGCATAGTTAAGTTTACACACGATTGATCTACGCATATCAAAAGACATACGTATATCATCATATAGTTCGACGAAGCGGAACGGGAAAGTCGTAAGCATTGAGACGATTGAACGACGTGCATGCGACGCCGGACAGAAACGTCCAATATAACGACTAATAACTACTTAATATTAAATTTCACTTAAACACTTTATTGAATTACTGACAAATTATTGCTTCCGTCGTCGATATCAAACTGTTCTATTCAAATAGGTACCTTACTACAAATTTCTTGCGTAACATTATGCATTTTATTTTCTACAGGCGTTAGTATTGATAATAATAGGTATGTAGAGGTAGATAACCCGTGGTAGCAACTTCACTTCACGATTTTAGGTAGCGATTTGTTCAATTTTTAACAACCAATAAATAACCCTTTCCAGAACACTGATATCTATGGACATATGGGTTTCAACATCGGTTTAGCAGTTTAAGCATGAAAGCGTAGCAAACAAACATTTATTATCATTTTTATTAGTTCACATTGGCCGTTCACTAATATTGCTTCAGAAGGTTCCTAGTTTGCTACCTACTTACAAAATGGTCACAAAGAAGTGTGCATAATGAGCTCAACTTACTAAACTGTTAAAGTAACATTATTGTATTCATTAGTCTCACCAACTTAACAAATGAATGCCCGAGCTCTTAAATATATTATTCTAGGCATCCGAGGAATTATTGTTGAATGTGTTCAACTTCCTTTAAGATGTGAAGCAGTTTGCCGAGTAAGCGTCTAGCAGTGAGTTAGTTTTAATATATAAATATTAAATAGTATTATAATTACTTTCAAATTATCTTGTAACACGCTAAAGAAAGTCACATCACAATCAGAACATGTAAGTAGATGTCACTGCTATGCTACGCCACTATGACACACATACATTTTCCATTGTAGTGGTCAGCCCAAGTGAATGAATCTCAAGTACTTTGTTAAATCATTCTCATACATACACAGCGTATAATTAAAAAATATTACAAGAGTTTCTCATCCGGAAAATACTGAGCGAAACTCGGAATATTTAAAGACTTTCATGAAATAATACAGTTGCCATGAATAAAACATAGCCTGCTGTTAGTTGGCGTTATGGTGCAGTCAGGTATGTTCTACGTCTGTAAATGCCCATCCTGCTTGCAGAAGTCACAATAATCGTCCATTTATTTACATCTCATGACGCAACTTAAAAGCTTGTCATCAAAATAAGCGTCAAAGCAGCGAAACGTCTAATGATGAAGACACGCGCTACCTGTCCGACCACTTGATTAGAGAACCTACACAACCCGCATGTAGCGGAAAACGCACGCACGACCGACTCATGCGCATGCTTGCGAAACACTTCAGTCGAAACTATAAATACTTAAATCTTCCAAATAAAATAGGTAAATAATGTCTTCAATAAGAGGTATTAAGGTAGAAATAACAAAACTTTTTTAGTATCTAATTCAGTTGGTGTATACCTATATATATATATATATTTTGTTGCATTCTCGGTAAATTACGTATTTCATTTCTATAAGAAAACAACAGTGTGCAATACAAGCCGTTCGTTGCTCCGCGCGTCTTCGGTTGAAAGACAGTGTATAGCCTCCAGTAAAGATGCGTCTGCGCATCGAGCACGTGCACCCGTCACGCATCACGGACACCCAGAAATTCGCTTAGTTTGTCCTGAGACTCCATGCCACTCGCACGCATGGAGGTCCGATGCTTTTCCCGCGCAAGTGACTATGAAAAAGCAACCTGATATTTATGACGTGGGCCTGGCCGTTGTGTTCTCGGTAGCAGATCGACTAAAAAATAGCAACACTGAAGAAATATTTTCGTGAGTATCTTCTTTAACTGCCGGTTAGGGCTTTGACCGTGTCGCCGACGTATCGGCTCCTTGTCCGGGCTAAAAGAGTTCAGTCGATCTATACTGAACCTGTTGTTCACCTTGTTAAGGATCGACGAACTTCTTTTGCTGGCATGATGTGCACTTTAAATTTTTGTCCGTTAGCAGTGCTTACTTTTATATATTTTGTCATGCTATTTCACAATTTTGCAGGGAGATGGATAGGTAGTCATTTTATTCTATTAAATTAAAAACAAGCGACTGGTAGGTCAGTGTCTTAATAGCCATTCTATCCTATCCCACCATCACCATAGTTAAAAAATATTTCTTTCATTCGTCAGCAATTTAAACTATTAATTCTAATTTACTTAAGTACTCAATAAATTATTTTGGAAAATCATAAAATAATATCTAAGCTTAATCAATAAATTATGCAAACACATTTTTTGTAAATTAAGTAGATTTATTGTTTTATTTACTTTCAATCCAACGTTTTCACTCAGAGATTGGACTTGTCAAACGACAACATAATAATAAACAAACAGTGAATTAAATAAGTATCCAGACTGTCCATAAAATGTTTAATACTGATCAAAACGAGTTTTACTGGATGTAATTTATCGTTAACATGCAAGAAACTAT